ACCTAATTTTTTGTATTTTTAGGTAGAAATGGGATTTTACTATCTTGGCCAGCCGGGTCTTGATCTCTTGACCTTGTGATCCACTCACCTCGGTCTCCGAAAGTTCTGGGTTACAGGCGTGAGCCTCCTCACCTGGCCCTGTTTTTTGTTTTTTTGAGACAGAATCTTGCTCTGTCGCCCAAGCTGGAATGCAGAGGCAGGATCTTGACTCACTGCAATCTGCCTCCCAGGTTTGAGTGATTCTCCTGCCTCAGCCTCCTGAGTAGCTGAGACTATAGGCATGCGCCACCACGTCTAGTTAATTTTTATTTATTATTTATTTTTTTTTTTGAGACAGAGTTTCGCTGTTGTCACCCAGGCTGGAGTGCAGTGGCACGATCTCGGCTCACCGCAACCTCCGCCTCCTGGGTTCAAGCAATTCTCCTGCCTCAGCCTCCCAAGTAGCTGGGACTATAGGCACGTGCCACCATGCCCAGCTAATTTTTTGTATTTTTAGTAGAGACGGGATTTCACCTTGTTGACCAGGATGGTCTCAATCTCTTGACCTCGTGATCCACCCACCTCCAAAGTGCAGGGATTATAGGCGTGAGCCACTGCGCCCAGCCTATTTATTTATTTATTCTGTAAAGACAGGGTTTCACCATATTGGTCAGGCTGGTCTCGAACTCCTGACCTCAGGCGATCCATCCACCTCAGCCTCCCAAAGTGCTAGGATTACAGGTATGAGCCACCATGCCCAGCACATCTAGTTAATTTTTATATTTTTAGTAGAGATGGGGTTTCACCATGCTGTTGAGGCTGGTCTTGAACTCCGGGCCTCAAGTGATCCACCCTCCTTGGCCTCCCAAAGTGCTGAAATTACATGTATGAGCCACCTGGCCTGGGCAAGCCATTGAAGATTTTAAATAAGGGAATGATGTGCTCTGATTTGCATTTTTCACAGTCACTCTGATTGCTGGGCAGAGAGAATGGAGTGCAGTGTGGTGAGAGCGAATCAGGTGACCTGCCAGGAAAAGGTGCACGTACTCATCTGTGCCAGAGATGACAGGGCTTTCAGATGGAGGCAAATGGACACATTTCCGAACTCTGAATAGGCACATCTACAGGATTTCGGGGTAGGGGAGGGGAGAAACCCATGGCTGACTCCTGTTGTTTCTTCAGGCAGAGTACTTGGGTTGGGAGGTCTGTTTGGAGCTGTCTGCGGCATGGTGTGAGGTGCGGGCAGGACACAGTGGAGATGGGGGGGAGGTTAGTGAATCGGGAGCTCAGGGCCAGACTGCCATGGGAGATGGAGGCCTGCCAGTCTTCAGGATCTGTCACTGACCGAAGTCTTGCTCATGGATGAACCTATCGTCTGCAGAGGAAAGTGTGGAATGAGACTAGGCCTAGGTGAAGGCCAGGAAATCAGCAGAGATAGTTAAGAAGGCCAGAGGCTTGGAGGCAAACACCACAGTGGGCCCCTCCTCCCCAGGGGCCAAGGCCAGAGATGGTTTCAAGGTAAGAGAGGGGGCCAGGCACAGTGGCTACTGCCTGTGGTCCCAGCACTGTAGGAGGCTGAGGCTGAAGGATGGCTTGAAACCAGGAGTTCAAGGCCAGCCTAGGTAACACAGTGAGAGCCCATCTCTATAAAACTAAAAATTTAACTGGGAGTAGTGGTGCATGCCTGTAGTCCCAGCTGCTTGGGAGGGCGGCAGGAGGATCGTTTGAGCCCAGGAGATCGAGGCTGCCATGCACTGTGATCAGGCCACTGCCAGAGCAAGACTCTGTCTCAAAAAATAAAAAAAAGATCAGAGAGGGGCACCACATCAAATCCTCCACTTTTTGAGCTTCCGGTTGCTCTGATGATGATCTGAGGCTGTGAAACTCTCCTTTTGCAAATGCATGAGGGTGACTTTGTGTCACTGAGCCAGGCCCTGGGATCCAACTCTGGGCAGGCAACCACCTATGTACCACATGTGATAGTAAGAAACTAACCCTGGGCCAGGTGCAGTGGCTCACGCCTGTAATCCCAGCCCTTTGGGAGACCGAGGCGGGCCGATCACCTGAGGTCAGGAGTTTGAGACCAGCCTGATCAACATGGTGAAACCCTGTTTCTACTAAAAATGCAAAAATTAGCCAGATGTGGTGGCAGGCGCCTGTAATCCCAGCTACTTGGGAGGCTGAGGCAGGAGAATTGCTTGAACCCAGGAGGCGGAGGATGCAGTGAGTTAAAACTGCTCCATTGCACTCCAGCCTGGGCAATAAGAGCAAAGTTTTGTTTTTTAAAAAAAAAAAAAAACTGACCCTGGGCCCCAGAAGATGGCACTCCCTCTTCTGGCCTCTTCCACCTACCTCCCTGTTCATTCCCCTACCATTCTGGACCCATTCCAAGGTGCTGCATGGTCAGGCATTGAAGGAATGGGTGGGGTCACCCTCAGATGCTACTGCTGGGGTTGGGGCAGGTCTCCCTTGGCTGACTGCCTCACCCACTCTCTCCCCATCTCTCTGTCACAACATTTCTCCAGGGACCAAGTTTAACCCATTTTGCCTCCAAGGAGTCTGGACCCTTGGCTATATTTGCCCCTGGCTTTAGGTCAAGAGATTTCCAACATGGAGTCAAAAAATCTATATGTCAAAAAAAAAAAAAAAAATGGAGGCCAGGCACGGTGGTTTAGGCCTGTAATCCCAGCACTCCGGAAGGCCAAGGCAGGTGGATCAACTTGAATTCAAGAGTTTGAGACCAGCTCTGGGCAACATGGCAAAACCCCACCTCTACAAAAAATATAAAAATTAGCCAGGCATGGTGGTATGCACCTGAAGTCCCAGACACTCAGGAGGCTGTGGCGTGAAAATCGCTTGAACCCCAGAAGTGGAGGTTGCGGTGAGCCAAGATCGTGCCACTGCACTCCAGCTTGGGCAACAGAGCGAGACTACATCTCAAAAAAGAAAAAAAAAAAGCTGCACACGGTGGCTCACGCTTGTAATCTCCGCAGTTTTGGAGACCTAGGCGGGCGGATCATGAGGTCAGGAGTTGGAGAACAACCTGACCAACATGGTGAAACCCCATCTCTACTAAAATACACACACACACACAAAATTGGCTAGGCAGAGTGGCTTACACTGATAATCCCAGCACCTTGGGCTTCTGAGGTGGGAGGACTAATTGAGCCCAGGAGTTTGTTACCAGTCTGGGCAACATGGCAAAACCCTGTCTGTTTAAAAAAATTTTTTAGAGGTCGGGCATAGTGGCTAATGCCTGTAATTCCACTACTTTGGGAGGCCGATCATAAGGTTGGGAGTTCGAGACCAGCCTGTCCAATATGGTAAAACCCCGTCTCTACTAAAAAATACAAAAATTAGGCCGGGCACAGTGGGTCATGCCTATAATCCCAGCACTTTGGGAGGTCGAGGTGGGTGGATCACGAGGTCAAGAGATCAAGACCATCCTGGTCCACATGGTGAAACCCCGTCTCTACTAAAAATACAAAAAATTAGCTAGGCATGGTGGCGGGTGCCTGTAATCCCAGCTACTCAGGAGGGATTGCCTGAGGCAGGAGAATTGCCTGAACCCAGGAGGCAGAGGTTGTGGTGAGCCGACATCACGCCATTGCACTCCAGCCTGGGTAACAAGAGTGAAAACTCTGCCTCAAAAAAAATAAAATAAAATTAGCCAGGTATGGTGGCGTGTGCCTGTAATCCCAGCTACTCAGGAGGCTGAGGCAGGAGAATCACTTGAACCCAGGAGGCAGAGGTTGCAGTGAGCTGAGATTGTGCCACTGCACTCCAGCCTGGGCAACAAAAGCAAAACTCTGTCTCAAAAGAAAAAGAAAGAAAAAATTTCTTTAAATTAGCAGGGCCTGCTGGCAGGAGCCTGTAGTCCTTGCCCCTCACTAGGCTGAGGTGGGAGGATCACTTAAGCCTGGGAAGGCAGCAATGAGCTGTGATCACACCACTGCGCTCCAGCCTGGGTGGCAGAGTGAGACCCCATCTCAAGAAAAAGAACATCCCGGCCTTGCTGCAGCTGTGATCCCTATGCACCTATACTGGGTGCAGACTTATCTGCACGAGCCTGGTAAGGTGTCTCCTTGAGCTCAGCCAAGAAACAGTTGGGTCCAGTTGTGGCATCTTTTTGTTTTTTTGAGATGGAGTCTCGCTCTGTCACCCAGGCTGGAGTGCAGTGGTGCAATCTTGGCTCACTACAACCTCCACTTCCAGATTCAAGCGATTCTCATGCCTCAGCCTCCTGAGTAGCTGGGGTTACAGGCACCTGCTACCACTCCTGGCTAATTTTTATACTTTTAGTAGAGATGGAGTTTTGCCATGTTGGCCAGGCTGGTCTCGAATTTCTGACCTCAAGTGATCTGCCTGCCTCAGCTTCCCAAAGTGCTGGAATTACTGGGATGAGGCACTGCTCCAAGCCCCCAGCTGTGGCATCTTTAGCCACACTAGAATATGCAGGTCCTGGGGTGTCCCGGCCTGCCAGCACGACCCACTCTTGACCAACTGGTGGTGCCAAACACCCTGGGGAGCTCCAGCTTCCATGGGCTCCAAGGCTCTGCACACCCTGTTCCTGCTTTACTTATAGTGGAGCTTCCCACAGGTTGGGAGATGTGGGGAAGAGTCAGCCCTGGAACTCACACAGCCTGGCCCAGAGGGAAAGGTATGCTCAGCACCCCAGACCCTTTGCAATTTATTTATTCTTTTTTTTTTTTTTTGAGACAGAGTCTCACTCTGTCACCCAGACTGGAGTGCAGTGGTACGATCTTGGCTCACTGCAACCTTCACCTCCTGGGTTCAGGCAATTCTCCTGCCTCAGCCTCCTGAGTAGCTGGGACTACAGGCGTGTAGCACTATGCCCAGCTATTTTTTTTATTTTTATTTTTAGTTGAGATGAGGTTTCACCATCTTGCTCAGGCTGGTCTCGAACTCCTGACCTTGTGATCCACCCCCCTCAGCCTCCCAAAGCCCTGGGATTACAGGTGTGAGCCACTGTGCCCGGCTATTTATTCTTAGCAGTATTTAACATTATTCTGCCAGTTTAACATTTATCAAATTTTATTTAATATTCTCACATAACTTGTTATATTTAAGTTTTTTTTTTTGAGACAGAGTCTCGTTTGTCTTTCAAGCTGGAGCGCAATGGCAAAATCATAACTCATCAGGCTCAAGCAGTCCTCCCACCTCAGCCTCCAGATAGCTGGGACTACAAACATGTGTCACCACACCCAGCTAATTTTTAAAATTTTTTGTATGGACAGTGTCTTGCTCTGCTGCCCAGGCTGAGACCAGACACTGTTGATCACTTTAAGGGCCGAGTGGGGTGGCTCACATCTGTAATCTCAATACTTTGGGAGGCCGAGGCAGGCTGATCACCTGCTATCAGGAGTTCGAGACCTGCCTGGCCAACATGGCAAACCCCTGTCTCTATTAAAAATACAAAAATTAGCCAGGTGTGCTGGCTCACGCCTGTAATCCCAGCACTTTGGGAGGCCAAGGGAGGTGGATCAACTGAGGTTGGTAGTTCAAGACCAGGTTGACCAACATGGAGAACCCCTGTCTCTACTAAAAATACAAAATGAGACAGGTGTGGTGGCGCATGCCTGTAATCGCAGCTATTCGGGAGACTGAGGCAGTAGAATTGCTTGAACCCGGGAGGTGAAGGTTGCAGTGAGCTGAGATTGAGCCATTGCATTCCAGCCTGGGCAACAAGAGTGAAACCTGGACAAAAAAAAAAAAAAAAAAAAATTAGCTGAGCGTGGTAACAGGCACCTGTCACCCCAGCTACTGGGGAGGCTGAGACAGGAGAAGAATTGCTTGAACCCCAGAGGTGGAGGTTGCAGTGAACCGAGGTAGCACCATTGCACTCCAGCCTGGACAACAAGAGGAAGACTTCCTCAAAAAAGAAAAAAAAAGAAGAAAGAAAGAGAGAGAGAGAAAGAGAGAAAAGAAAGAAAGGAGAGAAAGAAAGAGAAAGAAAGAAGAAGGAAAGAAAGAAGCTTTACGAATATTAACTCACTTAGTTCTCAGAGCACCCGCAGGAGGTAGGTCCTGCTGTCCTGCTGGTTTTGTAGATGAGCTAACTGAGGCACAGAGAGGATAAGTCACATGGCCAAGCTCTTGGTCACACCTCAGCCTCCATTTCAGAGAGGAGAAAACAAGGCTCCAAAAGGGGAAGTCATCGGCCTGAGGTCATCAGCGGGGAAGTGGAGGAGCCAGGATGGGGCCCGAGGTCCATCTGAGGCCAGAGCCAGTGCTGACCCGCCAGACAGGAAATCAGAGCTGACAACTGACCGTGGGGCACATTCGAATGGGTGGTGGGTGGCGATGGGGGCTGGGGTGAAAGCCAGGATGAGGTGTCACATCGGGTAGGGCTCCTGCTGGACCTGGCGGGCCAGAGACCCCTGGCTGGTGCCTGGAGTGCCTCTCCCTCCTCATTTCTGCTGTGCTGTCCCCTGGGTGGCCAAGGCGCCAGGCCCGGCTGTAGATCTGACACCTCCTGCTGCCGAGCTCTGATCAGAATCTGACTGCAGGGCAGGGGGCGAAACTGAATCCTGCTGGGCCTCCCCTGGCCTGGATGTCACGGCAGACACCCCAGCCCCACTCCTTGGCACTGCCCGTCCCCTAGCAGTGGCCTTGGTGGAACCTGGAGAGCCTGTGCCCACCCCAGGGTGCCAACTAGGCTGCTGCCTTGGCCCTGGGCTCTGGACTCCAGGATCCCCAGGGATCCCATGCCCAGGCTCCTGCCCCTCCCGGCTCTCAGGTGAGCTGCTGGGATCGGGTTCCTGTGGTTTCATGTCCCGCATTGTTCTTGGCCAGGCCCTGGCTTATGAAACAGTAATGAGGGGCCCCTGCTCCCAAAGCCGGTCCCTCTAAGGTTTCCACTGCCTCGGCTGCTGCTGCCACCACGGCTTGGAGTTGGGGCCTGGGAGGGCGGCAGCGTGGGGGCCTGAGCCGGAGCCCCCCGGGGACGAGGGTGCTGACAGCCGACAGCCGCCACCACCGCCAGAGCCCGCAGCCCAGGTAATCCGAGAGGAGGCGGGGCGCAGGGTGACATGGCCACTGTCTCCCACCACCAGGGGAGGGATCTGCGGCTCTCCCGAGGTGGGGAGGAATGGGGGGGGACCCTGGAGGTGAGCAGCCATTCCCCCTTGGTGAGCCCAGCACCAGACCAGCCTTCACAGGTGTGGCTTCCCAAGGGCGGAGGGAGAGAGGAGTGGGCAGCTGGCTCCAGGCCCCCGCCCTTTTCCTGGGCCTTGACTCTCCAGCCCTGGAGCCCCTGCTTCTCCGTTCGTGGGGCAGATCTCTTCTTTACTCCAAGGCCTTGTTTTCCCATCTCCTCCACCATCAGACTGCCTCTTCCTCCCTCAGACCTCTCCCTTCTCTCAGCCCGCTTAATCCTTCCTCCTCACCTTTGTCTTTTGGCCGGAAAAGAACCTGATGGATCCTTCTATCCACCTCGTTCTGGGGTGTACACACACACACGCATGTATACACAACTTAAACTTATGCAAACATACAGATCAGTGTACCCGTACCCGCGGGACCTGCAGAGATGTGCATGCACGAGAGCTCTCGACGCCCACGTGCACACATGTGCCCCCAATACCAGGCCTTTATCCACACACATACTTGCTCCAAGGCCCATCATATGTATACACACACGTGTACATGCACACACCAGGCGCCTCGGCCAGCCCTCAGCTTGAGTCCCAAGGGGCGCTTCCAGCCTGATGGGCAGCTCCTTGGGAAGTGTGAGATCCCTGGAGGAGACGCCTGGAGACTCCCACACTGCCCAGTGCCGGGAGGGACTGTGCAGGGGGAGGGGAGCCCCCACGTGGGCTCTGAGCTGCCTCCTGTCTCCAACCCTGGTCCAGGAGCTCAGGAACCCTTCGGGTGCTGAGGTGCCCTACTGCGACCTGCCTCGATGCCCACCAGTCCCTGAGGACCCACTTAGCTCCTCAACCTCCGACTGCCAGCCTGTGGTGGACCCGGGCCTCAGGCCAGGCCCCAAGAGGTGGGTAGAGCCCCAGGGCTCAGGAAAGGTCTTTGTGGGGTGGAACACCCTCGCCCTTCCCACTTGCACTCCTTCCCCAAGGCAGCGCCTATATCTAATGGCTGCTGGCATGAGTCACGTGCTCAGTTCTCCAAGCCTAGGCACAGGCAGGCGGTGGGTGTGCTCCTCGGGCCCACAGAAGAACTCAGATCACACCACTGTGCTTGCACCTGGGTGGCTGAGCCTCCCCTCCCCAACCCTGGCTGTCTCTCCCGGGGGTCCTGCCCACCCCATAACCTTCCAAGACCTTGCTCAGCTGGGTGTGTGGCTGCTGTGTACCCACCTTGCAGTGGGCATGGCCACATCCTGCTCACATTTCCTGGTTCCCTTCACATAGCTTTAAAAGATTAAATAGTCCCTGCACCCAGGGGCACCTGCTGTCACCCACCTACCTGGGTGTGCACTGCTCAGGGCTCTGGGGTTCCTTCCATCCTCAGGCCTGAGTGGAAGTCCTCCTTTAGGGTCATGGTACCTTGAGAGGCCATGGCCTGAGCGTCTAGAAACCTGGGTCCCAGCTTAAGATTCATCCCTGCTGAATCTTGAGCAAGTTACTCTGTCTTTCTGTGTCTCATTTTCCTGTCTGTAAAATAAAAGGGATTGAATCAAATCAGCACTGCGCTGGGATCAGGTGCTCCTCACAGGTAGGCATGTTAAAAACAAATAAACAACAACAACAAAAAAAACAGGGCGAGGCAGCTCACACCTGTAATCCCAGCACTTTGGGAGGCTGAGGTGGGTGGATCACTTGGTCAGGAGTTTGAGACCAGCCTGACCAACATGGTGAAACCCTGTCTCTACTAAATATACAAAAATTAGCTGGGCATGGTGGCAGGTGCCTGTAATCCCAGCTACTTGGGAGGCTGAGGCAGGGGAATCGCTTGAACTCAGGAGGCGGAGGTTGCAGTGAGTTGAGATGGTGCCATTACACTCTAGCTTGGGTGACACAGCGAGACTTCGTCTCAAAAAAAAAAAAATAAAACCTCAAAGACAGCTTTGCTATCAAGTATGTTTCAGAAAGTCTGGGATAAATGAAGTTGAATAGCTTTCCTGCAGGACTTGTCAGAGCCTTTAGCTTGCCTGTGTGCGTTGTGGCTTTTAGGTAAGGGAGGTAGAGAAGTTTGTCGTTTGACTCTAGAGCTCTTTTTATGGTCAGCACTTACGAGCATCATGTAGGCCAATCTGTGGGTCACTCTCTGGGGATACTGTCAGCACTAAGCCTCTTTGAGCCTGTGGCTTCTTTTAAAGCAGGGCTTTCTTACGGCTCCCTCCCTCAGCATCCAGGCTGGTGAACCTGTCACTGCCCATGGAGCGTGCTGCCTCTCACATCCTCATTAGCCCACCATGAGTCTGTCTCCTTTTTTTTTTTTCCCAGGATGGAGTTTCACTCTTGTTACCCAGGCTGAAATGCAATAGCACGATCTTCACTCACTGCCATCTCTGCCTTCCGGGTTCAAGTGATTCTCTGGCCTCAGCCTCCTGAGTAGTTGGGATTACAGGCATGTACCGTCATGCCCAGCTAATGTTTGCATTTTTCAGTAGAGACGGGATTTCTCCATGTTGGTCAGGCTGGTCTCAAACTCCCAACCTCAGGTGATCCACCCACCTCAGCCTCCCGAAGTGCTGGGATTACAGGCGTGAGCCACTGCACCTGACTAATTTTCGTATTTTTATTTATTTATTTTTGAGATGGAGTCTCATGGTGTCGCCCAGGCTGGAGTGCGGTGGCTCGATCTCGGGTCACTGCAACTTCTGCCTCCCAGGTTCAAGCAATTCTCCTGCCTCAGCCTCCCAAGCAGCTGGGATTACAGGCACATGACACCACACCCAGCTAATTTTTGTATTTTTAGTAGAGATGGGGTTTCATCATGTTGACCAGGCTGGTCTCGGACTCCTGACCACAGGTGATCTGCCCATCTCGACCTCCCAGAGTGCTGGGATTACAGATACAGGCCACCATGCCCGGCCTAAAATGGGAATTATTATACTTCCTTTAAAGGGATGCTGTTGTAGCTCATCGAGGCAACCCATATAAAAAGCCTGACACAGAGGCAGCCCTCGGCATTGGCTCCCTCTCCCACACCAGTGTGTGCAGCCTGTGGGTCCCAGGCTCCCTTTGTGAGTGAATGTGTATACCTGGGTAGGGTGAGGGGTACTCCTAACTCCCCATTACTTTTTGGGAAAAAGTCATGGGCCTGTCTCCTCTCCCAGGGCCCCATCCCCCTCAGCAGGGCTCCCAGAAGAGGGCCCCACAGCCACCCCCAGGAGCAGGAGCCAGGAGCTTAAGGCGGTGCCCTATCTGGAGGGCCTGACCTCTTCCCTGCGAGGCAGCGGCAACGAGGACCCCGGCTCTGACCCCAGCTCCAGCCCTGACTCCGCCACCCCTGATGAAACCAGCAACTCGTCCTTTGTGGTGAGCCAGGAGCGGGAGATGGGGGGACGAGAGGGGCCCATGCCACAGTCTCCAGCCCTGGGTCCTGCCTCAACCTGCAGGCCAGGGCCGAGCCTCATACTGGGAAGCCGGTGAGGTCCTCTGGACCATTAGCTGGCACCTCGGGCCACCCTGGTGAACCCCTGGAGGGTGGGAGTTTCAGCACAGGCTGGCCCAGGGCGGCTGGAGTCTGGCTGCGAAGAGACCGGGGAAGGTGTTTCAGCCGACAGGAGCTCCGGGTAAATCACCGGCAGGATCAGGCTGCCACACACTCTCAGGTCCCAGAGGGCTGGGATGTTGGGCATGGTGTCTAGAGCAAGAATGGCACAGAGCCCCAGGGCTCTGCCCTCGCCCCACAGTGCTGAGCCCCATGACCAGCCCTGGCATAGATTTCCAAGGGACACAGGAAAGGGAGCAGGTGGCAGGGGTCGTTTAGGTACAAAAAGAGAAGATCCAGCAGTCTTTCCTTAAGCATTTGCACTTTGAGGGGCTGCCCCAGAGCAGGAGAGGCAGGCTTGTCCCAGGAGATACCCCGAAGGAAAGTGACATTGGTGGTGATAAGATTCAGAATAAAACAACCCAGGCCGGGCGAGGTGGCTCACACCTGTAATCCTAGCACTTTCGGAGGCTGAGGTGGGCGGATCATGAGGTCAGGAGTTCAAGACCAGCCTGACCAACATGGTGAAACCCCGTCTCTATTAAAAATACAAAAATTAGCTGGGCATGGTGGTGAACGCCTGTAATCCCAGCTACTTAGGAGCCTGAGGCAGGAGAATCCCTGGAACCTGGGAGGTGGAGGTTGCAGTGAGCTGAGATCACGCCACTACACACCAGCCTGGGCGGTAGAGCAAGACTCCTTCTCAAAAACAAAACAATACAAAAGCAACCCAGCTTCTCCTTCCTAAGGGCTTGCTGGGTGTGGGCTCAGGGGAGACTCACAACACCCTTGGAGGCGGAGGCTCCAATGGCCCCACATGGGCTCAGGCTCAGAGAGGGGAGCAACCTAGTGGAAGCCACACACCTGGGAAGTGTTGGGGCTAGGATTTGAACCCACTTCTCTCTGGCCCCTTGGGGTATCTCACGCAGTCCCGAGTGCAGAACTCTGGGACTCTAGGGAAAGCTCTTGGCTTCAGTGGACATGCTTGTCTCCCAGGTTTATTGAAGGTGAGTGGCTTAGCACTTAGCACCTGCTAGAGCCCAGCACAGTGCCAGGCAGACAGCATGTGCTTTTTATTTAATTGATTGATTGAGACAGGGTCTCTCTCTGTTGCCCAGGCTAGAGTGTGTAGGGCACGTTGGGAGCCAGATGTAAGGCTGAGTGCCCCACAGGGTCGTGGGGTGAGCCTTATGCTGTGCTGAGGCGCAGGATCCAGAAGTAAAGAGACAGGACACAGAAGTACAAAGAAAACGCAGCTGGGCTCGGGGCCACGCCACCTATGAGTGGAGTCAGGCAAGGCCCCGAAGGTCCAGAAGCATGAGTATTTATTGTGTATAGGTTAGGGGGCAGGGCAGTGAGTGAAATCATCTTTAAGGATAGTGATAGGGTCATGAGCAATGAAACATGGGGTCCACCCTTATTAGGTCACCTAGGCCAGGAGGTGGACAGTGCGCAGCAAGGGGCCCGTTCCCATGAAGGAAAGGGCTGTGTTCAGTAAGGGGTCCACCCCCATTAGGTCACCGAGGCTTGAAGGTGGGCCGTGCGCAGTGAAGAGGGTGCAGTGTGCAATGCTTCTATCTATGGGCAAAATACTTCTAAGAAGATTTATAGGAGGATGCTTTAAGTCACATAGCAGTGACAGAGCTGTCAAGGTTACCGCCACCTTCTGGCAGCTTCCAGTGGGTTCTATGGGAAGATGCTTTTCAAGCAGCACAGTAGCAAGAGCTGATAAAGTTCACAGTCACCAAGGTGGATTGCCGGTCTGAGGGCAGTCTTCCACAAGAACTGGAGCAAGGTCCTACAACTCCTTTATCAGGAGGAGTGGCTCTCGCCCCAAGCCTGCCATACAGCGGGTATCTCTACGACACTGAACGCTGCCGCCTGGGCCATGGATTCTTGTCCTGGTATAACTGTTTTTCCCTTATATCATGCTCTACACTGTGTCTGCTCCAGGCATTCCTCCGATTATAAGCTGCTTATTCCTTAATTCATGCTCTGTACTGTGTCCACTCTAGGCATTCCTTCGATTATGAACTAAGATATAATTATAGGTATATATGTAGGGAAATATTCTTTAGACACTCATACTATCAACTATTAATTATATGATTCTATATAGAGGATTAGATATTTCTATAAACTAATATATGATTATGTAAAGGATTATATAAAAGGAAATAGCTGAGTAGTAACACTATAAAGTGAGATATTCCTCAGGCCCTAACTGTGCCAGCGTTCTGCTCAGCTCTCATTCCTTGGTGCCTATATGGCGGGTTACCCACAGGAGTGTAGTGATGCGAAAACAGCTCACTACAGCGTCGACCTCCTGGGCTCGAGCGATCCCCCAACCTCAGCCTCCTGAGTAGCTGGGACTACAGGCGTGCACCACCATGCCTAGCTAATTTTTTTTTTTTTCTTTTTTGAGACAGAGTCTCGCTCTGTTGCCAGGCACCAGGCTGGAGTGCAGTGGCATGATCTTGGCTCACTGCAACCTCCGCCTCCCGGGTTCAAGCAATTCTCCTGCCTCAGCCTCCCAAGTAGCTGGGATTACAGGCATGTGCCACCATGCCCAGCTAATTTTTGTATTTTAGTAGAGATGGGGTTTCACTATGTTGTTGGCCAGGATGGTCTCGATCTCTTTTTTTTTTCTTTGAGACAGAGTCTTGCTTTGTCACCAGGTGCCAGGCTGGAGTGCAGTGGCGCGATCTCAGCTCACTGCAACCTCTGCCTCCCAGGTTCAAGCAGTTCTCCTGCCTCAGCCTCCCAAATACCTGGACTACTCGGTAGCATGTCATCACACCCAGCTAATTTTTGTATTTTTTCAGTAGAGACAGGGTTTCACCATGTTGGCCAGGATGGTCTCAATCTCTTGACCTGCCTGCCTCGGCCTCCCAGAGTGCTGGGATTACAGGCATGAGCCACCATGCCTGGCTGGGAAGTGCTTTTTAATGTCAGTTCCTTTCCCTTCCTTCCTCCCTCTCATTCGGGGACTGCATGTCCTGGAGCCTTTCTTCTCCTGCAAATATACTTTCTCCTCCCCTTCTCTGGCAGGACTGGGACACTGCTGAGAGGCAGGAGGAGGCCCTCAGCTGGGACAAGCTCAAAGTGATGAGCCGGAGGCAGCCTCAGGAGGGGCCGAGAGCCTACAGCTCCCAGCAGGTTCCATCTCTCCTCACCAGATCCCCCGTGAGAGGAGACGCTGCAGGCCAGAAAAAGGAGGGTGAGTCCTTCTGCCAGGTTGGTTCCCATGCTCGTGGGTATGTGATGGCGTGGGGCTCCCCAGATAGCCATCTCACTGGCCATTTGGGACCCTGGGCATGGCTTACTTTGGTGGCCTGAGTATTAATAATAGTAACAGTTCCAGCCCGGCACAGTGGCTCACACCTGTAATCCCAGCACTTTGGGAGGCTGAGGTGGGTGGATCACGAGGTCAGGAGTTCGAGACCAGCCTGGTCAACATGGTGAAACCTCATCTCTGCTAAAAAATATAAAAAATTAGCTGGACTGTAATTCTAGCTTATCAGGAGGGAGGCTTAGGCAGGAGAGTCGGGAAGTGGAGAACCCAGGAGGCAGAGTTTGCAGTTAGCCGAGACTGTGCCACAGCACTCCAGCCTGGGCAACAGAATGAGACTCCATCTTAAAAAATAAAATAAATAAATAAAATAATAATAATAGCAACAGTTCCCTGTCATGATGGAGCAGCCACAATGAGCCATGCTACCCACTTTATTATTATTATTTTGAGACGGAGTCCCACTCTGTCACCCAGGCTAGAGTGCAGTGGCGCAATCTCGGCTCTCTGCAACCTCTGCCTCCCCAGTGTAAGGTTGACCAAAAGCAGGGAGAGGCAGACCCAGGGTCAGGTTTAGCAAGTTTATTTCAACCTGCCAGGCTGTCTCACCACAGGCAGTGAAGGCAGCAGCTGGCTTACACACTGGGGGGTCTATAGGGGGGTTGCAGGTAGCCAGGTGCTATTCTAAGAAAAACTTCATTTTGGGCCGGGCACGGTGGCTCAAGCCTGTAATCCCAGCACTTTGGGAGGCCGAGGCAGGTGGATCACGAGGTCAAGAGATCGAGACCATCCTGGTCAACATGGTGAAACCCCGTCTCTACTAAAAATGCAAAAAATTAGCTGGGCACGGTGGCGCATGCCTGTAATCCCAGCTACTCAGGAGGCTGAGGCAGGAGAATTGCCTGAACCCAGGAGGCGGAGGTTGCGGTGAGCCGAGATCGCGCCATTGCACTCCAGCCTGGGTAACAAGAGCGGAACTCCGTCTCAAAAAAAAAAAAAAGAAAGAAAAACTTCATTTTGGCTCTCGGAGGCTGACATCCTGCTTAATTGGGCCAACATTGTGGATCCAAGAGCCGATGTGGTCACATCCTGGAACCTAGGTGCCCCTTATAAGGGGTTTCTCTTATAAGCTTGGCTTAACAGGGGAGAATGGAATGGTGGAGGGGGTCTATGGGCCTGACTTGTTGGAACCCTAACACCCAGTTCAAACGATTCTTCTCCCTCAGCCTCCCAAGTAACTGAGATTACAGGTGCCCACCACCACGCCTGGCTAAGTTTTGTATTTTCAGTAGAGATGGGGTTTCACCATGTTGGCCAGGCTTGTTTCAAATTCCTGGCTGGGGATTACAGGAGTGAGCCGTCATGCCTGGCCATAGCCAAGGAGTTTGGACTTTCTTCTCTAAGTAGCAGGGAGCCACCGAAGGTTTTTGAGGCAGAAAGTCATGTCTTTGAACCTGTGTCTTAGGAAGTTCCCGACGGCAAAGGTACAAAGGATGAATTGGAGCAGGGCGGGGGATGAGAATCCGGTTTAGAGGCTGCTGCGGCCACTGTAGCAGCAGCTGGTTCAGGTGTGAATCGCCGGGGAATGGGAAATCCCTAGGGTGGTAGGATGTCAGGAAACAGGATAGTCATGGTCTCCACGAATCACCCCTCAGATTCTGCATCAATTACTGAGAGAAAAAGGCACCCTTAGGCTGGGGAGAGTGGGCAGATACCACCTTCGGTAAGCGGCTGCTCAGTATCTCCGGAGTGGGGCAAACCAACATCAGATGCCCCCTGATGTGATGCATGGGGTCAGGGGTGGGGGTGCTGGGGTGGGCACGGAATCCCTTCCCTTGTAACTCATCCTGCTGAAAATGCATTGCCTGTATCTCAGGCAGTGCAACATCAAACACATCTGAATTCAAAGACATTCTGCAAAATGATTGGGCTATCCATAGGACAAAAAAGGGGCTGGGGATATTCCTGACTAAAAGAGGCTAAGGAGACAAGGACATGGAATGCCATGTGTGAGCCCAGTGGGATCTGGGACAGGAGGAGACAGAGCTGTGACAGATGTTATTGGGACAACTGGGGCAATTTATTACTTTTTTTTTTTTGAGCTGGAGTCTCGCTGTGTTGCTCAGGCTAGAGTGCAGTGGTACGATCTCAGCTCACTGCAACCTCCGCCTCCTGGGTTCAAGAGATTCTCCTGCCTCAGCCTCCTGAGTACCTGGGCCTATGGGCACATGCCTGGTAATTTTTTGTATTTTTAGTAGAAGTGGGGTCTCACTGAATTAGCCAGGATGGTCTTGATCTGCTGACCTCATAATCTGCCCATCTCGGCCTCCCAAAGTGCTGGAATTACAGGCGTGAGCCACTGAGCCTGACAACTTTTTTTTTTTTTTGAGCTGGACTCTCGCTCTGTCACCCAGGCTGGAGTGCAGTGGCTCAATCTCTGCTCACTGCAATCTCTGCCTCCCGGGTTCAAGCGATTCTCCTGCCTCAGCCTCCTGAGTAGCTGGGATTACGGGTGCATGCCACCACACCCAGCTAACTTTTTGTATTTTTAGTAGAGACAGGGTTTCGCCATGTTGGTCAGGCTGGTCTCAAACTCCTGACCTTAGGTGATCCACCCACCTTGGCCTCCCAAAGTGCTGGGATTACAGATGTGAGCCACCTTGCCTGGCTTGGCTAACACTCAGGTAATTTGGATATGGACTGCATGTTAGATCACACGATTGTATTAATGTTCTGTTTCCTTTTTTTGAGACAGAGTTTTGCTCTTGTTACCCAAGCTGGAGTGCAATGGCGCGATCTCCGCTCACCGCAACCTCCGCCTCTTAGGTTCAGGCAATTCTCCTGCCTCAGCTTCCCGAGTAGCTGGGACTACAGGCACGCGCCACCATGCCCCGTTAATTTTTTGTATTTTTTTTAGTAGAGATGGGATTTCAGCATGTTGATTAGGATGGTCTCAATCTCTTGACCTTGTGATCCACCCGCCTCTGCTTCCCAAAGTGCTGGGATTACAGGCGTGAGCTACCGTGCCCAGTGATGTTCTGTTTCCTGAGTGTGAAATGACATTGTGGATGAGAAGGAAAATGTCCTGGTTCTTAGAGACATTAGGGAAGTGTCATGATGGCTTCAACTGCCCCTCTCACATAGGTCAACAAAATGGATCAATGATAGGTAGGTGTGGGTAGGTAGATAGGTAGCGTGTTAGTTCATTTTTGCATTGCTATAAAGAAATACCTGGCCGGGCATGGCAGCTCATGCCTGTAATTCCAGCACTTTGGGAAGTCGAGGTGGGTGGATCACCGGAGATCAGGAGTTCCAGACCAGCCTGGCCAACATGATGAAACCCCGTCTCTATCAAAAATACAAAAATTAGCCGGGTGTGGTGGTGGGTGCCTGTAGTCCCAGCTACTCAGGAGGCTGAGGCAGGAGAGTCTGTTGAACCTGGGAGGCAGAGGTTGTAGTGAGCTGAGATCGAGCCTCCCAAAAAAAAAAAAGAAAAAGAAAAAAGAAAGAAAGAAATACCTGAGCTGAGGCTGGGTAATTTATAAAGAACTTTTTTTGGCTCATGGTTCTGCAGACTGTACTGGAAGCATGGTGCTGGCATCTGCTTCTGGTGAGGCCTCAGGGAGCTCACAATCATGGTGGAAGGTGAAAGGGGAGCCTGCACATCACAAGGTACAAGCTGAAGCAAGAGACAGAGGAGCTCTGCTGTGAGCCAGCTGAGCCAGAGCTCACTCTTCACCAGGGGATGGTTCTAGGCCAGGCATGAAGGATCCACCCCCATGATCCAATCAGCTCCCACCAGGCCCCACCTCCAACACTGGGAATCACACTTCAGTCTGAGATTTGGAGGTGCCTAACATCCAAACTATATCAGATCATAGATAGATAGATAGATAGATAGATAGATAGATAGATGATACATAGACAGATAAGATAGATGATTGATTAGATAGATACATAGAGAGATCGATCAGATAGATGATAGATAAATACATAGATACATAGATATATAGATAGATCAGGTTTTTTTGTTTTTGTTTTTGTTTTTTTGAGACGGAGTTTCGGAGTTTCGCTGTTGTTACCCAGACTGGAGTGCAATGGCACGATCTCGGCTCACCGCAACCTCCGCCTCCTGTGTTCAAGCAATTCTCCTGCCTCAGCCTCCCAAGTAGCTGGGATTACAGGCGCGCACCACCATGCCCAGCTAATTTTTGTATTTTTAGTAGAGATGGGGTTTCTGAACCTCGTTGACCAGGAGGGTCTCGATCTCTTGACCTCGTGATCCATGCCTCGGCCTCCCAAAGTGCTGGGATTACAGGCGTGAGCCACCGCGCCTGGCCTAGATCAGGTTTTTTGTTGTTGTTGTTTTTCTGAGACAGAGTCTTGCTGTTATCCAGGCTGGAGTGCAGTGGTGAGATCTCGCCTCACTGCAACCTCCACCTCCCAGGTTCAAGCCATTCTCCTGCCTCAGACTCCTGAGTAACTGGGATTACACGTATACGCCACTGTGTTAGGCTAATTTTTGTATTTTTAGTAGAAACTGGTTTCACCATGTTGGCCAGGATGGTCTTAAACTCCTGACCTCATGTGATCTGCCCACCTCGGCTTCCCACAGTGCTGGGGTTATAGGCGTGAGCCACCGCACCTGGCAACCATGCAAATTTTGAATTCTGTGCTAGGTGCTGGGAACTCAGACTTCAGCAGCAGCAGCCCAGAGAGGCTGGAGGGGACAGAGGCTGCAAAGGGAGAGCAGAGGGGATCTTAGGAAGGCCTAAAGAGAGAGGTTCTGCATGAAGGCGATTGTGCCTACTTTTTTGGTGTTGTTTGTTTGTTTTAAGACAATGTCTTGCTCTGTTGCCCACGGAGGAGGGCGATGGCATGATCTCAGTTCACTGCAGCCTCCACCTCCTGGGCTCAAGCAATCCTCCCACCTCAGCCTTCTAGGTAGCTGGGACTACAGGCACTACCACCAGGCCCTGCTAATTTTTTATTTTATTTTATTTTGGTTTGAGATGGAGTTTTGCTCTGTTGCCCAGGCTGGAGTGCAGTGGTGTGATCTTGGCTCACTGCAACCTCCACCTCCTGGGTTCAAATGATTCTTCTGCCTCAACCTTCTGAGTAGCTGGGACTACAGGCGCATGTCACCATACCCGGCTAATTTTTTGTATTTATAGTAGAGATGGGGTTTCACCGTGTTAGCCAGGATGGTCTCAATCTCCTGATCTTGTGATCCACCTGCCTCAGCCTCCCAAAGTGCTGGGATTACAAGTGTGAGCCACCAGTAGTAGAGACAGGGTCTCGCCACATTGCCTAGGCTGGTCTGGAACTCTTGAGCTCAAGTGATCCTACCACCTTGGCCTCCAAAGGTGCTGGGATTACACGTATGAGCCACCACTCCCACAGCTGTGGATCCCAGGCCATGATACCTTTTACTCACCTGGAACACTCGCTAAGGGACATGTACATAGCTGGTGGCCAACACCTGCTCGGTGACTGAGAGATGGAGGGGGAGTGGAGAGTAACACACCAAGGTCATGGCAACTCTGTCATGAGGCTAGGAGTTGTGAAGAGGTTACTACTGAGGACAGTTACATTGATTCCTTAGGCCAGCACTTCTGAAACTATAAATAAAATAATACAAGGTGTACAAATCACCAGAGAGCTTTGTTAAATGCAGATTCAGAAGCAGTGCATCTGGGCTGGGACCTGAGATTCTGCATTTCTGGCTAACTCCCAGTTGCCCATTTACAAAAGGTTGTCTGTTCCTGCACCTTTCCCATCCTCACGGCAGCCCTGGAAGAAGGCTCAGGGCAGGAACATTTGGATATAAGGAACGGGGGTTTTCCAGAGCTGTCACACATGGAACAGGCTCATTAGAACCTGTCTCAGGCTGGGTGCAGTGACTCACGCCTTTAATCCCAGCACTTTGGGAGGCCAGGGTAGGGGGATCACCTGAAGTCGGGAGTTTGAGACCAGCCTGACCAACATGGAGAAACCCTGCCTCTACTAAAAATACAAAATTAGCCAGGTGTGATGGTGCATGCCTGTAATCCCAGCCACTCAGGAAGCTGAGGCAGGAGAATCAATTGAACCCGGGAGGCGGAGGTTGTGGTAAGCTGAGATGGAGCCATTGCACTCCAGCCTGGGCAACAAGAGTGAAACTCTGTCTCAAAAGGAAAAAAAAAGCCTGTCTCTACTAAAAATACAAAAGTGAGCTGGGCATGGTGGTATGTGCCTGTAATCCCAGCTACTTGGGAGGCTGAGGCAGGAGAATTATTTGAACCCAGGAGGCGGAGATTGCACTGAGCCGAGATAGCGTCATGGCACTCCAGCCTGGATGACAGAGTGAGACTCCATCTCAAAAAAAAAGAAAAAAGAAAAAAGAAATTGGGGGAATTCCTCAGATTCTGATTGAAGGAAATAAAACTGAGAGGGATAGACTGTCAGGTGGCTGCTGCCGGGCCCACCTCCCCCTCCCTGGGGTCACATGGGCTATTGGCAACACTTCTCTCCATGAATTTGCTGCTTCTCAGTCTTGTCCATGGATGATCGCCAGACCATGAGGACGTTCAGTTCTTGAGCCCATCTCTTGACTAAGTCAGGGTCTCCACTTCAAATTCTTTTTTTCTGAGTTTCACTCTATAGCTCAGGCTGGAGTTCAGTGGCATGATCTCGGCTCACTGCAACCTCAGCCTCCCGGGTCCCACTTCAAGCAATTCTCCTGCCTCAGCCTCCCAATTAGCTGGGATTACAATTACACGCCTAATTTTTGTACTTTTAGAAGAGATGGGGTTTTACCATGTTGGCCAGGCTGGTCTCAAACTTCTGACCTCAGGTGATCCACCTGCCTTGGCCTCCCAAAGTGCTGGGATTACAAGCGTGAGCTACCAAGCCCGACCAGTTTCAAATTCTTGATCTTGAGAGAGGCATCCAAGCCCTTGTCTAACCAGCCTTGGTCAGAGAGGTGGAGTCACTTGGTACAGACAGAGGCCTGTAAGAGGAGGGTGTGGGGCCTGCCCTAATCACTGGTCCTAGGGGACAAAGAAAGGTAGAATATGAGAGCTGTCTGGACCCCTCCCCTTACGTTGAGCCTCTCTTCTCTCTCCAGACACCGGCGGTGGGGGCCGGAGCGCAGGACAGCACTGGGCAAAGCTCCGGGGAGAAAGCGGGTACTTCTCCTTGGAGCGGCACTGGTCACCACTGACCCAGGCTTCCTCCATGACACCACACAGTGGACCTCGAAGCGCCACCTCCCAGACTTCCCCTGGCCAAAGGGACATTGCCCAGGCTGCCTGCACACAGCGTGACACTGCCCGAGCGTCCTCTCCCCACCAAATCACCCAAAGGGATGCCCCCGGGGCCTCATCCACACAGCAGGATACCTCCAGGACCTCATCCACACAGCGGAACACTCTCAGAGCTTCCGCTCCCTCACGAAGCACCCAACAGGATAACCCCAGAACCTCATCCAACCAACAAAATAATCCTCAACTTTCTTCTCCCCTAAGAGCCACCCAACAAGATAACCCCAAAACCTCTTTTACCCAGGAGGACAACCTGCAAACTTCTTTTCCTGCTTGTAATCCCCAGCAGGAAAACCCCAGAACACCCTGTGCCCAACGAGACTATCCCAGACCTTCCTCTCCCAACAGAACTACCCAACGAGAGAATCGCAGAATGACCTGTGTCCAGTGGGACGATCACAGAGCCTCCTCTCCCAACAGAGCCAACCCCAGAACACCCTGTGCCCAGCGGGACAATCCCAGAGTCTCCTCTCCCAACAGAGCCAACCCCAGAACACCCTGTGCCCAATGGGACAATCCCAGAGCCTCCTCTCCCAACAGAGCCACCCAACGGGACAATCCCAGAGCCTCCTCTCCCAACAGAGCCAACCCCAGAACACCCTGTGCCCAGCGGGACAATCCCAGAGCCTCCTCTCCCAACAGAGCCACCCAACGGGACAATCCCAGAGCCTCCTCTCCCAACAGAGCCACCCAACGGGACAATCCCAGAGCCTCCTCTCCCAACAGAGCCACCCAACGGGACAATCCCAGAGCCTCCTCTCCCAACAGAGCCACCCAACGGGACAATCCCAGAGCCTCCTCTCCCAACAGAGCCACCCAACGGGACAATCCCAGAACCTCTTCTCCCAACAGAGCCACCCAACGGGACAATCCCAGAACCTCTTCTCCCAACAGAGCCACCCAACGGGACAACCCCAGAACCTCCTCTCCCAACAGAGCCACCCAACGGGACAATCCCAGAACCTCTTCTCCCAACAGAGCCACCCGACGGGACAACCCCAGAACCTCCTCTCCCAACAGAGCCACCCAACGGGACAACCCCAGAACCTCCTCTCCCAACAGAGCCACCCAACGGGACAACCCCAGAACATCCTGTGCCCAACGGGACAATCCCAGAACCTCTTCTCCCAACAGAGTCAACCCCAGAACATCCTGTGCCCAGCGGGACAATCCCAGAGCCTCCTCTCCCAACAGAGCCACCCAACGGGACAATCCCAGAGCCTCCTCTCCCAACAGAGCCACCCAACGGGACAATCCCAGAGCCTCTTCTCCCAACAGAGCCACCCAACGGGACAATCCCAGAACCTCTTCTCCCAACAGAACCACCCAACGGGACAACCCCAGAACACCCTGTGCCCAGCGGGACAATCCCAGAGCCTCCTCTCCCAACAGAGCCACCCAACGGGACAATCCCAGAGCCTCCTCTCCCAACAGAGCCACCCAACGGGACAATCCCAGAACTTGTATTCAACAGAACACCCCCAGATCATCTTCTACCCAACAAGACAATCCTAAAACTTCTTGTACCAAATGCGATAACCTCAGACCCATTTGTACACAACGGGACCACACACACTCCCTTTCCTTTCAACGAGACAACCCTGGAACCTCCTCTCAGTACTGCACCCAAAAGGAGAATCTGAGACCATCATCTCCCCACCGCTCCACTCAAAGAAACAATCCCGGGAATTCGTCTCCCCATCGGACTAACAAAGACATCCCCTGGGCCTCCTTTCCTCTCCGGCCAACTCAGAGTGATGGTCCCCGAACCTCTTCCCCATCTCGCTCCAAGCAAAGCGAGGTTCCCTGGGCGTCCATTGCCCTCCGGCCAACCCAAGGTGACAGGCCTCAGACTTCATCTCCCAGTCGGCCAGCCCAGCTTGACCCACCCCAGTCCTCCTCTGGCCCCACCCAGTACAACTTGCCCTCACGGGCCACCTCTTCCTCCCATAACCCAGGCCACCAGAGCACCTCCTGGACTTCCTCGCCTCTGTACCCCGCTACCTGTGGGGCTCCCCTGACCGCTTCTGAACCCTCCCAGCCTCCATGTGCTGTGTGCATTGGGCACCGGGATGCCCCCCGAGCCTCTTCACCCCCTCGCTTTCTGCAGCATGACCCCTTCCCCTTCTTCCCAGAGCCCAGCATCCCTGAGAGTGAATCGCCCCACCATGAGCCTCCCTATATACCACCTGCCGTGTGCATTGGACACCGAGATGCACCCCGAGCGTCCTCGCCCCCTCGCCACACCCAATTCGACCCCTTCCCCTTCCTTCCAGACATGTCAGATGCTGAGCATCAGTGTCAGTCCCCCCAGCACGAGCCCCTTCAGCTCCCCCAACCTGTGTGTATTGGGTACCGAGATGCACCCCGGGCCTCCTCCCCACCACGCCAGGCCCCAGAGCCTTCCATCTTATTCCAGGACCTCCCCAGGGCCAGCACGGAGAGCCTTGTCCCTTCCATGGACTCTCTGCACGAGGCCCCCCACATCCCCACCCCTGTGTGCATCGGGCACCGGGATGCACCCTCCTTCTCATCCCCCCCACGCCAGGCTCCTGAGCCATCCCTCTTCTTCCAGGACCCCCCTGGAACTAGCATGGAGAGCCTGGCCCCCTCCACTGACTCTCTGCATGGCTCCCCAGTGCTGATCCCACAAGTGTGCATCGGGCACCGAGATGCACCCCGAGCCTCCTCCCCACCCCGCCACCCACCCAGTGACCTAGCGTTCCTGGCACCCTCACCTTCCCCAGGCAGTTCCGGGGGCTCCCGGGGCTCAGTGCCTCCTGGGGAGACCAGGCACAACTTGGAGCGGGAGGAGTACACTGTGCTGGCTGACTTGCCCCCACGCAGGAGGCTGGCACAGAGACAGCCAGGGCCCCAGGCACAGAGCAGCAGCGGGGGCCGCACCCGCAGCCCTGGCCGTGCAGAGGTGGAGCGCCTCTTCGGGCAGGAGCGCAGGTGAGTCCAGGGTGGGGTCGGCAAGGTGGGCTGGGGAGGAGACTCCTCTGCGGGACAGGTGGAAGGTTCTCAGGGTCAGAGTGCCAGAAGAAAGGGTTCAAATCCCCCTAGACTGCCACTTTCTGGCTATGTGACCTTGGGCAGATCACCCCATCTCTCTGTTTCTGCATATCAAGAGTTTTGTGGGGTTTTGTTTGTTTTGAGACAGAGTCTTGCTCCGTCACCAAGCGCCAGGCTGGAGTGCAGTGGCGCAATCTGGGCTCACTGCAACCTCCGCCTCCTGGGTTCAAGCATTTCTCCTGCCTCAGCCTCCCGAGTCGCTGGGACTACAGGTGTGCACCACCACGCACAGCTAATTTTTGTATTTTTAGTAGAGACGGGGTTTCACCATGTTGGCCAGGATGGTCTCGATTTTTTGATCTTGTGATCTGCCCACCTCGGCCTCCCAGAGTGCTAGGATTACAGGTGTGAGCCACCGCACCCGGGCTGTTTGTTTTTTTGCCCAGCCTGGAGTGCAATGGTGCGATCTCGGCTAGCTGCAACCTCTGCCTCCCAGGTTCAAGCGATTCTCCCACCTCAGCCTCGAGAGTAGCTGGGATTACAGGGGACCACCACCATGCCAGGCTAATTTTTTGTATTTTTAGTAGAGACAGAGTTTCACTATGTTGCCCAGGCTGGTCTCAAACTCCTGACCTCCTAAAGTGCTGGGATTACAGGTGTGAGCCACCACGCCCAGCCTATTTTTGTTTTTTGTGTGTGTGTGGTTAAGTGATGTCATGCACAGCCCAGTGGTCAACAGCAAAGACTGCGGTCAGGAAGGCTGAGTCCAAATCTTGGGTCAAAGCTACATCTCAACCTGTGTGACCAGACATATGAGTTAACCTACCTGAGCCTCAGTTTCCTCATCTGTAATGGAGGGGAGCATGAGCGCATTCATTCAAATGAGGGTGAAATCTCAGACCCTTTGATCCAGACTCATGGGTTTGTTTTTTATTCCGTGCAAGAAGAAAGTGCCCATGATTTTTTCCTGCCTTAGCAAAGAAAACTCATGGGTCCCTGTGCATTTCGGAAAATAGAGATGTCAATTTAAAATGTATGGCCAGAGCCACCTATTTTAAGAAAGAGAAGTCCGGGCGCCGTGGCTCATGCCTATAATCCCAGCACTTTGGGAGGCCAAGGTGGGTGGATCATGAGGTCAGGAGTTCGAGACCAGCCTGCCCAGTATGGTGAAATGCCTTCTCTACTAAATATAGAAAAAGTAGCTGGGCGTGGTGGCACATGCCTCTAGTCCCAGCTACTCAGGAGGCTGAGGCAGAATAATTGCTTGAACCTGGGAGGTGGAGGTTGCAGTGAGCCAAGATCACGCTACTGCACTCCATCCAGCCTGGGTGACAGAGCAAGACTCCGTCTACAAAAAGAAAAAAAAAAGGAAGGAAATTCACAGAATTACGGATTTTTAGCGGTCAAGCGTCCTGGGACTCCTGAGGTCCAGGTGTCTTTCGAGTCTCTTTGGTCAGCAGCACTGCCCCACTGGAAGGGAGGGGAGCATTTCCTCCTGATCTGACTGAGGTTTCTCTCTCCAGAAGTTCCAGGCCTCGAGTTTTCAAGGGTCAGAGCTAGAATTCCGTTAGTTAAGGTCAAGAGAACAGCAGCAGCAAAAAGCGGTTTGTTAGTCTCAAAAGTTTCTGTGTCTGTGATTCAGTGAATTTTTAGTATATTTACCAAGTTGTCCAACCATTGCCACCATCTAACTTTAGAACATTTCCATCATCCTAAACGGGTATAGAATATTTTGTATCTAAAATTCCTCTCTGCTGCTCCTTGGGCAACTTTTCTCCTGGATTTGAATCTGCATGAGAAACCTTATCTCTTGGCTGGGAGCGGTGGCTCACGCCTCTAATCCCAGCACTTTGGGAGCCTGAAGTGGGCAGATCACCTGAGGTCAGGAGTTTGAGACCAGCCTGGCCAAAATGGTGAAACCCTATCTCTACTAAAAATACTTTAAAAATTAGCTGGGCATAGTGGCTTACACCCGTAGTCCCAGCTACCCGGGAGGCTGAGGCAGCAGAATTGCTTGAATCTGGGAGGTGGAGGTTGCAGTGAGCTAAGATCTGCAGTGAGCTGAGATCATGCCATTGCACTCCAGCCTGGGCAACAAGAGTGAAACTCCTTCTCAAAAAAAGAAAGAAAAAGAAACCTTATCTCTTGTTCTTCAAATTTCCTTTTTCTTAAAGGCTGGGCACGGTGGCTCACCCCTGTAATCCCAGCACTTTGGGAGGCCGAGGTGGGTGGATCACAAGGTCGGGAGATAGAGACCATCCTGGGCAACATGGTGAAAACCGCTTCTCTACCAAAAACACAAAAATTAGCTGGGCGTGGTGGCACCTGCCTATAATCCCAGCTACTCAGGAGGCCGAGGCTGAGGCTGAGGCAGGAGAATCGCTTGAGCCAGAGAGTCGGAGGTTGCAGTGAGCCGAGATTGTGCCATTGTACTCCAGCCTGGCAACAGAGTGAGACTCCGTTCCAGAAAAAAAAAATTTCCTTTTCCAGTAAGCTTGATCATTTAATATCCAGGTGACAACTCTGTGGTCTCCAGCATTAGTATAATTCTTTCTTAGGCCTTAAAAACAAAAACCTAGGCCAGGCATGGTAGCTCACGCCTGTAATCCCAGCACTTTGGGAGCCCGAGGTGGGTGAATCACCTGAGGTCAGGAGTTTGAGACCAACCTGACCAACATAGTGAAACCCCAAACCCCATCTCTACTAAAAATATAAAATTAGCAGGGCGTGGTGGCATGCAGCTGTAATCCCAGCTACTTGGGAGGCTAAGGCAGGAGAATCGCTTGAACCTGGGAGGCGGAGGTTGCAGTGAGCAAAATCACACCATTGTACTCCAGCCTGGGCAACAAGAGCAAAACTTCGTCTCAAAAAAAAACATAGAGTAGTTTTAGGTTCACAGCAAAACTGAGCAGAAAGTGCGGGGTTCCATGCACAGCCTCTCCCACTACCAATATCCTGTATTAGAGAGGTGTGCTCCTTTTTAGCTCCTGGCCTCAAGGGCTCCTCCTTTCTTGGCCTCTTAACGTGCTGGTGAGCCACTGTACTGGGCTGTAGGGTGACACTTTGTTAAAATCCATGAACCTACATTGACAAATCACCCGAAGTTTAGGGTTCCCTCTTGGTGGTGTACACCACCAATGCATACATTCATTCAAACGGGCTTGAATCAATGTTTAATGACAAGTATTCACCATGGTAGTACTTTACCATTTGAAGGTTTCACTCACTACCTTAAAAATTTTCAGTGTCACTGCCCTTTTTTTTTTGGAGACGGAGTCTCGCTCTGTTGCCCAGGCTGGAGTGCAGTGGCACAATCTTGGCTCACTGCAACCTTCGCCTTCCAGGTTCAAGTGATTCTGCTGCCTCAGCCTCCAGAGTAGCTGGGACTACAGGCGCTTGTGACCATGCCCGGCTAATTTTTATATTTTTAGTAGAGACGGGGTTTCATCATATTAGGATGCTCTTGAACTCCTGACCCCGTGATCTTCCTGCCTCAGCCTCCCAAAGTGCTGGGATTACAGGTGTGAGCCACTGTGAACGGCTGACCTTTTTTTTTTTTTTTTTTGAGACCAGGTCTTGCTCTATCACCCAGCAGGAGTGCAGTGGTGTGATCATGGTTCACTGTGGCCTCCGACCCCCAGGCTCAAGCAATCCTCTCACCTCAGCCTCCCAGCAGCTGGGATTACAAGCGTGCACCACTGTGCCCAGCTAATTTTTCTATTTTTTGTGGAGATGGAGTCTCAGTTTCTTGCCCAGGTTGCTCTCAAACTACTGGCATCAAGCGGTGCTCCCACCTTGGCCTCCCAAAGTGTCTTTGACGTTTTTATGATGACTATTTCTGGTCTGATGTCAATTTTCCTAATTTTTGTCTTAACTAATAACTCAGTGTGGACTTAAGATCTTTAAGCCAAAGTTGATTTTCTTTCTTTTTTTTTTCAGGTTAATTTTACAGAGAGAAAGTGTTTATATCAATAACAGAAACGAGGAATAGGTTTTACACTTTTATTAACCATTTGTTTACACAATCACTCCTATACATTTAATTCTACTCTCTTTGAAATCGATTATTTACCATTTAGTCAAGGTTTTATAATTTTACTGAGTAATGAAATTTTTTCCTCTCACCTGGCACCTTTTCCAAATAGAAAACCATTCATCCTCTGAAGATGAAAATTTTCAAACGATATAGTGTGTCAGGGACAGACTGGAGCTTGTGAGCGGGTGGCTGTAGGATTGCGCTTTGATTTTCTCCCATTTCCTCATCGATGTATATTTATTGAGCATCTACTCTGTCCCAGCATTGTCCCAAGTCTGGAAAATTTTTCTTAAAGGCTTATCACATCAAAGCATTGGGAGTTTCGGCTTGATCTTAATCTTTTTTCCCTTAGATGCCTTTGGAATCTCTTAGAGTCATATAAGCATTTGTGGTCATTTGAATTCAAAACACAGCCTTCATTGGATTTGCTAGGCTTGATGGCTTTGGTCCTTTAATTCTCTCTGGAGGTCAAAGAGCCCGTCTAAGCTTCCCAAGGAGACAGGTTTCCTTTGTCATGCTTGGTGCAGCCACACCAACCCTCCAGAACAGGTGACCCTGAAGAGACGCTGTTGCTTCAGCACCAGACAAGCCGGGTCTCCGTTGGGGTCTCAGAATCTTCTTGAGTCCCTCGCTCCTTTCTCTCATTTCCACATGGGGAGAAAAAGGAAGGCGAGTTCTCAGGAGCAATGCTCATGATGCAAGCTGGAGTTCGTATGCGAAACGCATCCATTCGAAAGACAACACACAAATGCCTTGCCTCCCTGCACCGGATGGTTCCACCATTGTCCTCCCCATCCTCCCCATTAGGGAGGAACAGCCCACTGGGTCATGTTTGGGCTGTGGCTTCACTGAGGCTCCTATACCCCAGTTCCGGGGAAATTCACTCTAAGGCCTTCAGCTCTCACAGAGTAAGGAAACACACTCACCTCAAATTAGATAACAAATTGGCTGGGTGCAGTGGCTCACACCTGTAATCCCAGCACTTTGGGAGGTTGAGGTGGGTGGATCACCTGAGGTCAGGAATTCTAGACCAGCCTGGCCGACATGGAGAAACCCTATCTCTACCAAAAATACAAAAATTAGCCGGGTGTGGTGGTGGGCACCTGTAATCCCAGCTACTTGGGAGGCGGAGGCAGGAGAATCGCTTGAACCCAGGAGGCAGAGATTGCAGTGAGCTGAGATTGTGCCACTGCACTCCAGCCTGGGCGACAGAGAGAGAATCCATCTCAAAAAAAAAAAAAAAAAAGTACAAACAGCCTGCTCATGGAGCCCCTCAAACTCAGAAACACTTCTTCCAGGGAACTTCCGTTCCTCTCTGAACCAGCTGCCAGTAACAGCTCAGAGTGCTGCACTTTATGGCTCTGATTCTAAAGACTCTGGCAAGAGCCGTGAAACAGCAACAGACTCCAACCTCGTACTTCTTTCTTTTGAGACAGGATCTTGCCTTTTCGCCCAGGCTGGAATGCAGTAGCACGATCAGGGCTCACTGCCGCTTCAACCTCCCAGGCTCAAGCGATCCACCTCAGCCTCCCAAGTAGCTGGGACTACAGCCACATACCACCATGCCAGTCTCATTAAAAAAAAATTTTTTTTCATAGAACAAGGTCTCATTCTGTTGCCAGGGCTGGTCTTAAACTCCTTGGTTCAAATGATCCTCCGACCTCAGCCTCCCCAAGTGCTGAAATTACAGGTGTAAGACACTGTACCTGGCCTCCCAACCCCATACTTTTTTTTTTTTTGAGACAGGGCCTCACTATGTTACCCAGGCTGGAGTGCAGTGACACGATCTTGGCTCACTGCAACCTCTGCCTCCCAGGTTCAAGTCATTCTCTTGCCTCAGCCTCCCGAGTAGCTGGGATTACAGGTATCCTCCACCACACCCAGCTAATTTTTATATTTTTAGTAGAGACACAGTTTCACTCTGTTGACCCAGCCTAATTTTCGTATTTTTATTTTTTCTGCAAATGGTCAGGCAACTGGATAATTTTTGTATTTTTAAAGACCAGGTTTCACCCTGTTGCCCAGGCTGGTCTCGAACTCCTGAGCTCAAGCTATCCGCACATCTCAGCCTCCCAAAGTTCTGGGATTACAGGTATGAGCCACTGCGCCCCGCCCAATCTCATACTTTTAAAGCTGTTGTTCCAGCATGAAGCACAGGCAGACCACAGAAGGCAGGACCTACGGAGGCCTGAGCAGAATTTCCTCTTCCCTTTTTGCTGCCTCACTCTGGACCCACCATAGGGTGGCCTTTTTCAGACTTCTCTTCCTGGTTCAGCTCATCCACCAGAAACATGGCTCCATTTGCTGAGACCCCACCAAAATAAACATTCACGGAGTGCCTGGGTCTTTGTCGTGACCTCCTTAGGTGGAAGGGAGAGATGTGCCGAGGTTCTGTTTGGTGTTTCTACCTGTCAACAGAGATATCACGTTAAACATTAACAGGCATGCCTCCCCGTTAGTAAGCGAGACAACTAACTGGAACCAGACTTCTTACACAAGTGAGAGATGAACTCCGCAGATGCGCCAGCAACGCCTAAATCCAGTGTCTTAGAAATAACATTTGCCCAGGGACAGGCATGGTGACTCATGCCTGTAATCCCAGCTATTTGGGAGGTTAAGGCAGAGAATCACTTGAACCCAGGAGATGGAAGTTGCAGTGAGCTGAGATTGCGCCACTGCAGAGTGAGACTCCATCTCAGAAAAAAGAAAGGAATGACATTTGCTCGCACAGTTCATGTTGGTCTCTGTGGAGTTGTCTGGGAGAATGTTTCTTTCTTCTGATCTTGCTCAGAAGTTTTTTGCCAACAGCTAGGATGGCCTGGAGGTTTTTTGTTTTTTTTTTTTGAGGCAGAGTTTTGCTCTTGTCACCCAGGCTGGAGTGCAATGGCGCTATCTTGGCTCACCGCAACCTCCATCTCCCAGGTTCAAGTGATTCTCCTGATTCAACCTCCCGAGTGGCTGGGATTACAGGTGTGAGCCACCACACCCGGGTAATTTTTGTATTTTTAGTAGAGATGGGGTTTCCCCATGCTGGTCAGGCTGGTCTCGAACTACCGACCTCAGGTGATCCGCCCGCCCTGGCCTCCCAAAGTGCTGGAATTACAGGGATGAGCCACCGCTCCCGGCCAGCCTGGAGTTTTTAAGGCTAAGTGCTGGGATTCTGTTGGTTAACAGTGATGGGAGGGAAAAAGGAAAAGAAATCCAAAATTTACAATATGGACAGGAAAATGATAGAAAGAAGATGGGGGCACACAGCAATCTGCCTCTGTGGCCCCCCCACCTGGGCTGTGTGAAATGAAATGAGATTATGATACAAGCGCTTGGCCCCTGGAATGTAAGAAGTACTCAGTAGGGCCGGGCGCGGTGGCTCACACCTGTAATCCCAGCACTTCGGGAGGCCAAGGCGGGTGGATCACGAGGTCAAGAGATCAAGACCATCCTGGTCAGCATGGTGAAACCCCGTCTCTACTAAAAATACAAAAAATTAGCTGGGCACGGTGGCGCGTGCCTGTAATCCCAGCTACTCGGGAGGCTGAGGCAGGAGAATTGCCTGAACCCAGGAGGCGGAGGTTGCAGTGAGCCGAGATCGCGCCATTGCGCTCCAGCCTGGGTAACAAGAGCGAAACTCCGTCTCAAAAAAAAAGAAGTACTCAGTAAATGCTTTGCCATTACAATTATGTGTGCCCGGTACCTGGTACACAGTAGGTGCTCAATAAATCTTAATTCCCACTAAGACCAGTCTAACCTTTGTCTGGGGGTGGCTGGTGGGCTGCTGGTGGGTGGTGGTTAGTCACGGGAAGTACTGAATGAGACAGGAGTCAAAGCCAGAGCCTCCTCCCCACCCGACCGCAAGATCTTCATGAGGCAGAATAGAGCAGTGTTAAATCATCCCCATTTCTCAGAAGGGGACACTGAGGCCCTGAGAGTCACTTAGGGCCCTTCAACCAGCTTGCAGTGGGGCCCCTGGCTCTCCCACATCTCCTCCTGTTGGAGACGGGAGCAGAGGGGTGGGGTGCTGGTAGTGGGACAGTCCCTCAGAGGCATGGCTGCATTTGCTCATAGGAAGTCCGAGGCAGCGGGGGCCTTCCAGACCCGGGACGAGGGACGGTCACAGCGGCCCAGCCAAGGCCAGAGCCAACTTCTCCGAAGACAGTCCAGCCCTGCCCCCAGCAGGCAGGTGAGCACTGCCAGCTGTATGGGGCCCCGCACCCCAAGGGGCAGCCACTGTCTCTTCCTGCCCCGTAGGAGCCAGGCAGGGGTCCTGGACAGAAAGATCTCTATGAAAGGGACAGAGTCCAGTCATGAGTATCTGTCTCTCCCCTCTTCCCAAGGGCCAGCAGTTCTTGGCAAATGCACAAGATTCCAGACCCCACGTTAGTCCTTTGAAGACAGCCCCCTTCCTTCACTACGGGCTGCTGTCTTTTTTGAGGTGGAGTCTTGCTCTGTCTCCCAGGCTGGAGTACAGTGGCGAGATCTCGGCTCACTGCAACCTCCGCTTCCCAGGTTCAAGAGATTCTCCTCCCTCAGCCTCCCAAGTAGCTGGGAGATTACAAGCACATGCCACCAAACTCAGCTAATTTTCGTATTTTTAGTAGAGACAGGTTTTCGCCATGTTGGCCAGGCTGGTCACTCCTGACCTCAGGTGATCCACCCACCTCGGCTTCCCGAAGTGCTGGGATTACAGGGGTGAGCCACCAGGCCCGGCCAATACTGCTGTCCCCAGCTTTCAGGGAAGGCCTTCCTGCATCAATCCGGCTCGAAGGGCCCTCTCCTTCAGGGTGAATTGTATCTTTAACAAAACTCAGAGGGCTAGGCTCACCCCAGGGGAATGGGCTGTTGGTGGAAGTTCTGGCACCTGACAGCCCCAGCTGGAATCGGTATCTTGGAGAGAGTGAGAAGCCAAGAACGGAAACAGATCTTTGCAGATCTTTTTAGATCTTTTTCTGGAACTGAGGGAAAAGGGTGAAAGCGAGGAGCTGACCCCCCCAAAGTGGGCCCAGGGACCCTGTGTGCTTTTGATGCAGCTCTGATTCAGGCTGCTGTGCGGACACAGCCTTGCCTCTCTGGGGGCCTGGCTAAGAAAGGCAGAGCTGGCAACCAGGTCCCCAGAGAGAGAGCCTCACCTGCTCCCTCACCTCGTCCCCAGGTGACCAAGCCCCCTGCCAAACAAGCAGAACCGGCCGAGCGGAGCCGAGCAGAGCCTCCTCATCCTCGGAGCCATGAGAAGAGACCGGAGGGAGATCGGAGGTTCCAGGGGTCCCCGCCGCCCCCCAGGACATCAGCCAGGACCTCTGAGAAGGAGCTGCTGACACAAAGACCTCTGGAGAGTGGCCGAGCAGACCCAAGACAGCCTCTGGGGGCGTGGCAGAGTCAGGAGGAGCCGCCAGCGTCCCAGGGACCTCACAGACACCTGGAGAGGAGCTGGAGCAGCCAGGAGGGAGGCCTGGGCCCTGGGGGCTGGTGGGGATGTGGGGAGCCCAACCTGGGGGTGGCCAGAGCCTCAGAGGGAACATGGGGGGGCCCTCCCAGAGAGTACCGGGAGAGCTGGGGGCAGCCAGAGACCCGGGAGGAGAAACCCACCCATGAGGTCCCCAGAGAACTAGGGAAAAGCTCACCCATGAGCACCCCAGAGAACTGGGGAGGCCCTGCAGAGACCTCACAATCTTGGCAGCCTGGGACACCCACTGCTGTGGGCCAGGGGGCAGAGGGAGCTTGTCCATACCCACCTGGCCCTGAGAGGCAACCCGAGCTTGACTGGAGGGACCTGCTGGGCCTTATTCGGGCACCAGGAGATGGGGTTTGGGCCCGTCTCCCCAGGCTGGACTGGGAGGGCCTCTTGGAGCTCCTGCAGGCCAGGCTGCCCCACAAGGACCCAGCTGGACACAGGGGTGACCCGGCCAGGGCTTCAGGGCCAGAGCCGGGTCCCCCAGGCTCAAAGGATGCCCCAGAGCAGGACTCACACAGCCAGCTGGAAGGCCAGGCTGAGGCCACCCCAGTCAATGGATACAGCGCTGCACCACGGCCCCAGAGCCCTACCCAGCCTCCCAGCCCTGCCTGCACCTCCACCCAGTGGCCAAAGACCAAAGTGACAAGAGGACCGGCAACTGCAACTCTGACTGGCCTGGAGCAGCTGGGCCCCCTGGGGAGCAGGAGCCCTGCAGAGAGCCCCAGCTTGCCAGAGCTGCAGGTAAGGAGGGTCGAGGGTCCCACCCTCCCAAAGGTAGCCAGAAAGTCAGCCCCACCCAGCCAGATCTCCTAGGAAAAGCCTCCCTCTGAGTAGCCTGAGCCCCAGCATCCCGCCCCCCACTTCCCCGCTGACCACAATCCATCCCAAACACCAAACTGGCCCAACAGTGACAATGAGCAAGCATTTTAAGCATTTATGGGCCAAGCCCTGACCTGAATGTTTGATGTGTACTTTTCCCATTCAGACTCCTTAGCAACCAGGTGAGAAATATACTATTTACAGATAAGGAAACTGAAGCGCAGGGTGAAGCTACTTGCTGGTAGGGGATGGGTAAAACCCAGGTCTCAGTGCAGACCATGCTGAGGCCTCAAGCAAGATGCTCTGGCCAGGGCCTGTTCCCCTCCCGGCTCCACCATACCTGGTTGATGTTGTGTTTGGTGGCACACAGCTGACCCCTCCTGGGACTGTAGCCAGTGTGGTCATGCCCCTTCCCCTGGTGGTTCCCAGGTTCCTGAGTCCAGAACAGCCTGGTTTACCCTCTCTGGCCCCTACAGCTCCTCTCAGACACAGAGGTGCATCAGTGCTCACTGGGTCCAGCTAGCTGTCAAGACAGGCTGCTTAAATGAGGGCTGTGTGCAAAGTAGGCCGGGCACACAGTAGGTGCTCACCCTTCCCCTGGTTCAGTGGTACTTTGGTGCCGCCTTGAAGCCCAGAACATTCTTCATCTGAAGATGGTAGGCAGGGAAGGTCCTGGAGGCCAGAGTCCCACAGCCTGGTGACAGCTCCTTGGGAGGATGGCACATGGTTTTGAACACCAGTCTCTCTCCCTCTGTAAGATGGACCAACCTCAGCTGGGCGCGGTGGCTCACACTTGTAATCCCAGCACTTTCGGAGGCTGAGGCAGGCAGATCACCTGAGGTCAGGAGTTTGAGACCAGCATGACCAACATGGACAAACCCCATCTCTACTAAAAATACAAAATTAGCCTGGCGTGGTGGCTCACACCTGTAATCCCAGCTACTTGGGAGGCTGAGGCAGGGGAACCACTTGAAACTGGGAAACAGAGATTGCAGTGAGCCGAGATCGCACCACTGCACCCCAGCCTGGCAACAGAGCAAGACTCCCCCTCAAAAAATCCTGGTGAAGCTCAGGATTCTCAGGAGACTGGGAGCTGATGGCTAGGAAGGCGTATGAACGCCACGAGCTGAAATGCATTTCACAAATGACAAAACAAGGAATCACCAGGTCCTGCCAGGGCTCCAGCTCCTCTCTATGAAAATCCTTGGCATGGCATTCAAGGCTGCCTTCCCTTCCTTCCACTCCGGATTTGCCTTATTGGTGTTGAGCTGGCTGCAGGGCCTGTGAGCACATATTCCTGCCTTTGCACATGCTGTTCCCATTGCCTCAGATGCCCTATCCTCCCCTCTTCAGCCACCAAACGTCTGTTCATTTTTCAAGTCATAGGTCAGGCACCCAGTCCTAAGAAGCCCTACCTGAACTCTCCTAGGGACGGTCCCCTTCTGGGCTTGGCAGTTTTGCTTCCCTCATCTGTCCGTGTCTATCCATTTAATGGGGTTGTCATCTCCTCAGAAGCTCCATGGGGGCAGCAGCTCTGCCTGCCCTTTTTTGGTGGGGGGATGGAGTTTCACTCTATTGCCCAGGCTGGAGTGAAATGGCGTGATCTTAGCTCACTGCAACCTCTGCCTCCTGGGTTCAAGCGATTCTCCTGCCTCAGCCTCCCAAGTAGCTGGAACTACAGGCGCATACCATCACGCCTGGCTAATTTTTGTATTTTTAGTAGAGAAGGGATTTCACCATGTTGGCCAGGGTGATCTCCAACTCCTGACCTCATGATCCGCCTGTGGCAGCCTCCCAAAATGCTGGGATTACAGGCGTGAGCCACTGCTCCAGGCTGAGCTCTGCCTGCTTTATCTCTGTACCTCTGGCTCTGGCTCACTGAAATAAAGAGGGGGGGGCAGCTCATTGGATACATGCAAGATGGAGGACAGAGGGGTCAGTGGGTGGACAACAGATGGAGGATGAATGTGTGAACAGGTGATGGATCAATGATGCAGGTTGGGGCCGGACGCGGTGGCTCACACCTGTAATCCACGCACTTTGGAGGCCAAGGCGGGTGGATCACCTGAGGTCAGGAGTTCAAGATCAGCCTGACCAACATGGTGAAACCCCATCTTCTTAAAAAAAAAATGATGCATGTTGAATGAATGACAGACACCTGTTAGATGGATGACAGATGGTGATGATGGGTGGATAGCTGAGTGATGAATGAATGGTGCATCTATGATGGATGTTGCTTAGGTGATAGATGGATGAAGGTTGGCTGGAATATGGATAGATGCTGCATGGATGGATAAATGTTGGATGATAGATGGTGGACAGACAGATGTTGGATATATGGGTAGATGGATGATGGATGGAGAGAGGGATACATAGGCATTGCATAAATGGACACACGATGGATCAGTGGAGGGTAGGTACACGCGTGGGTGATAGACAATGGACATTGGATAGATGAGGGGTGAGTAATCAGGGACAGACCCTGGATGGTTGGATGGATACACGGATCTACTGATGCTGGACGTCAGACGGATGCTACATGGACAGATGAGAAATGGATAGAGGAAGGTGGACAGATGGATGCATCCTGGAGAATAAGCTGGGCTAAGCTGTGCTCTTTTTTAAATCTCCAGTTCCAACCAGAGGAGCCTGAGGAGTCAGAACCAAGCAGAGGCCAAGACCCCCTGACTGACCAGAAGCAGGCTGACTCGGTAGTTGGGTCATGGGCATGGGTACATGCGGAGGGGAAGGAAGGGGACAGCAGGTTGGAGATGGCTGTGTTCCTCTGGAGAGCCCTGGAATCATCTAGAGCAAAGTTGGCTTTGCCATGGGGTCATCTGTGTGCGTGTCAGGGCCTTGAGGGGCTCTGGAGAGCCACCTTCTGGCTTGGGGACCTGGGTAGATGGGCCATCCTGAGGTCAGAATCCTAGGCTGTGCTTCTCATTTGCTGGGGCCGAAAAGGTCAGTGTCTTTCCCTGGGCAAATGATGGTTTGGACTCAGTGGTCTCTGAGGGAAGAGATCCTTCTGCTTTGAGAGGGCCGGGCCAGGCTGAGAGAGAGCAGGGCTTCCAGGGGCAGGAGTCGGAGCTGAGGATGTGCCCGTGGTCAGCTGGTCCTGGAGAGTCTCCAGGGTCCTGGAGGCAGGAGAGAGATGTTCGGGGATGGGACCCACGGAGGCTGCTCGGAGGCCTGGCTGCAGCTGGTGAGCACAGCTCTGCCCGCCCCTCCCCGTGACCTGCCAAACAGACTGTTCTCATCACCCTCAGCCTCCAGAGAGGTGAGATCAGAGTTGAGGGCCATGGGGCAGTGGGAGGCAGGGGAGGAGGAGACAGACTGGGGTTGTGTTTTCCGGTCCTGCTCTTCCCCCTGCCACCTCCTGAAAAGCCAGGTGTGGCAGGCAGCATCTGTCGGGCAGCCCGGAGTCCCCAAATCTGGCCCTGCCGTGAGTCAGAGTTTGGGGAATTCTGCTCAAACCCTCACTGGGCAGATGAGGAAATGGAGGCAGGGGAGTCATCCCAGATTACACAGTCAGTGGGTAGCTGGACTCGAACTAGAACCCAGGGCCCAGGAACCACCCAGCGCTCTCTCTGCACCTCCACCCCCAACCCATGCTGCCCCCTGGCCCTGCCCTGATTTCTCCCTTGGCCTGGAATAGCAGTGCTCTAACTTCAAGTTGGGGGCAGTCTTCTCATGTGTGGAACAGGAGGGGACAGGAGACGCTGAAGGCGCTGCCAGCCCTCCCAGGGGCTCCAAGAACTTCGACTTTGCTCTTCCTCTTTCTGGGTTATTTCTTCATACTTCCTGGAGCCGGAGTAAAGAAGGCGGAAATGGCAATGCAGGGGTGCCCCTCTAGTCTCCATGAAACAGGCCCGGCCCATCAACACAGAAAGTATCTCCACCTACCCCTACCCCTTGGTAGCCTTGACTGGTCGGAACTGATAACTACCTCATTCGTGCATTCACTCACATGCAATTAGTGAGCACCTTCTGTATGCCCCGGTGTGGGTCAGAGGTGAGCCCGGGTGCCATCAAGGAGTTCAGTCTAATGAGACAGTTGTGTGCCTACGGTCAGGGCTGTGATGAGGATGATAGCAGGGTTGAGGCACCCCTACCCACAAAGCCCTCCCGGATCTGTGCTTTGATGCTTCAAGTCCCATCTCCAGAGAGTCTGTAGATTCTAGAGAGGGGACACCTCGCTGTCTCCTACCTTGCCAGTAACCTGCTCTGTGACTTTGGACAAGCACCTCTGGTTCACTGGGGCCTTGGTTTTCCCAACAGGGATGACTCCAGAGAGGGAGGATTTGGGGACCCTGCCGGGGGTGTCTATAGACATCTGTAACTCATTCCTTTTGCTTAAGTTGGGGTCACAAACCTAACGCACTGAAGGCCAGGCAGGTGGCAACGCTGAGAAGGGGGGAACCGCGGGCCCTTGTGTGACTCCTCAGTTCCAGATAGCTGTTGCCATGGGGAAGATGGGCCCAGAGTTTCCATATCATCCGATCTTTCAAGAAACACTGGAAATATCAATTTATAGGTGAAATCTCTAACCTAAGGCGAAATACTCTGAAAACACTACGTGGGCTGAACGAAACACACCTGCAGTCTGCACTCCCTTCCAGCTGGAGCCACTGGTTTGACTTTAGGATGATGACATGTGCACCTTCAAGGGTGTGGGGCCCTGGGCGCCTTGTCAGTCAAACACAATGTAGTGTTAACTAGCTCTTGTCGCCGCAGCTCTGGGAGGAGAGAAAGATGGGAACCCTGGGGCTTCGTGGGGGGCACCACAGAAAGGGCAGGGGAGGCTGTAGCCAGGGGTGCCCCCATCCCACCAAAGGGACCTGGGGCCAACACTGGACCCTGTTTGACAGGCAGACAAGAGGCCAGCAGAGGGCAAGGCTGGGAGCCCACTCAAGGGCCGACTGGTGACCTCATGGCGGATGCCCGGGGACCGGCCCACGCTGTTCAATCCGTTCCTGCTGTCTCTGGGGGTCCTCAGGTGGCAAAGGGTAGGCTGGCTCCAGCGGGGGCTGGAGGGGTGAGGGTGGATAGAGATGGGGAGGGGAGGGAGGAGGAGGGGTGGTGTTAGGCAAAGGAGAGAGTAGGGGCTGAGGAGGAGGCATCTGGGACCCTGGCATGGAAGGAGGTGGAAGCAGAGCGCTTAAGCTCCCCCTGGTCTCAGCAAGCGAATGGGTTTCCCACCTCAGGGGCAGGCTTGGGGGCTGTTTTCAGCTTTCCAAGTGAGAGGTGATGGAATAATCTACACAGCTGAAAGCTTCTAATCAGCAACTTCTCGCCAGCCCTCAGCCACGGGGGAGCCAGGTGTGGGGGAAGGGAGGGCGGGCTTAGGAGTGGCTCTGGGATTGCAAAGTGTGTCTCAGACCTGGGCCTGAGCCAGTTTCACAAACATCTGGCATTACGTAACCCATCCCCTGCCTGGAGAGGCCTGGAAACACTCAAGCCACTGGCTGGGTTTTCTGTAAGGGCAGGGAGCTGACACCCGCTCCCCCCACTCCCTTCACAGCAGGATAGAGGGGGCCTGGCCATCTCCAGCAGCCACAGCCTGGTTCAGGGGGTCTCTTCTCTTGGTGAGATGCTCTCTTACTCACTGCTGTTGGCTCTGGGTCCAGCACTAGGCTGGGTACCTCAGAGATACTGTGTCCATTTTACAGATGAAGGGACTGAGGCCTAGGGAGGTGAGCTGACTTACCTAAGGTCGCACAGCTTGGGGTATAAAGGAGCTGATTTTCCTCATTCTCAGATGAGAGAAGGGTTTCAGTGAAACTCACTGAACCTTGGTTGCCATATCTGTCTATTAGGAAAAGGTCTGTGGAGACTCTGAGGGCTGCAGAGAGGGCTCAGGGAGATCGGGATGCAGAGAGGGTGCTGAGCTGTTGTTGAAACACTAACTTTCCCATCCATTTCAGAATTTCCTGTTTTTGTTGTTTTTTTGAGAAGGAGTCTCCATCTGTTGTCCAGGCTGGAGGACAGTGGTGAGATCTCGGCTCACTGCAACTTCCGCCTCCTGGGTTCAAGCAATTCTCTGCCTCAGCCTCCCCAGTAGCTGGGATTGCAGGCATGTGCCACCACACCTGGCTAATACAAATAATTTTACTTTTAGTAGAGACAGGGTTTCAGCATCTTGGCCAGGTTGGTGTTGAACTCCTGACCTTGCTTGGCCTCCCAAAGTGCTGGAATTACAGACATGGGGCACAGCATCCAGACATTTTTTTTTTTTTTTAATTAAGAGGGAGTCTCGCTCTATTGCCCAGGCTGGAGTGCAGTGGCGCCATCATTTTGGCTCATTACAACCTCTGCCTCCCAGTTTCAAGCAATTCTCCTACCTCAGTCTCCTGAGTATGTGGTATTTCAGGCATGCACAACCGCACCTGGCTAATTTTTGTATTTTTAGTAGAGACAGGGTTTCACCATGTTGGCCAGGCTGGTTTTGAACTCCTGACTTCAAGTGATCTGCCCGCCTTGGCCTCCCAAAGTGCTGGGAAGTACAGGCATGAGTCACCCTGCTGAGACCAGAATTTCCTTTCACTGCTGTTTGGGGTTAAGGCACCAAGGGTGAGCAGGCAAGCATGGTTATCTGAGTAGTGTGGTACCTTTAAGCCATGGGCAGGAATTACCTTATCAAACTAACTAAAGGTCACCAACATACAGCAGGTCTGGCCGTGGGGCAGTGGGAGGCGTGGGAGGAGGAGACAGGCTGTATTTTCCAGTCCTGCTCTTCCCCCACCGCCTCCTGAAAAGCCAGGTGTGGCAGGGAATGTCTGTCGGGCAGCCTGGAGCCCCCAAGTCTGGCCCTGCCGTGAGTCAAAGTTGGGGGAATTCTGCCCAAAGCCTCATTGTGCAGATGAGGAAATGGAGGCAGGGGAGTCATTCCAGGTTACAGAGTACTGTGGGGATTCCCAGAGCTGTGTGCAGGAGGGCTCATAGCGATCAGGATATGAGGCAGCGGTGTAGGGGGCATGTTAGAAGCACTGGGCTCTGAGATCAGCCAGAGCAGGGTTTGAATCTCAGCTCGGTCCCTTGCTCCCTGTGTGACCTGGAGCAAGTGGCCCTCCCTCTCTGAGCTTTACTTCATCATCTGAAAAATGGACAATATGAGTCTATCTGTGCATGTGAGTTCAGATCAAATGCAGTCAGGCTCCGGCAGTGAACACGGAGCTGGACGTGTAGTAGGTGCACAATCGCCAGCATGGTTATTCTGGGGTGCTTTCCCTGCTTTGCTCCTCCTCTGCTCTACCAAGGACTTACCTGTGCCTACTACATGCCCAGCTCCATGTTCACTGCGTAGCACACCTGATTGTGTTTGATCCGCACTCCAAGGCACAGTTAGACTTACATTATTCATTTTACAGATGACGAAGTGAAGCTCAGAGAGGGAGGGTCACACAGGGAGCAAGGGGCAGAGCTGAGATTCAAACCCTAGCTGACCTCAGAGCCCAGTGCTTCTAACACAATCCCTATATCACTGCCTTCATATTCTGATCTCTCTGAGTCCTCCTGCAGCTCTGCTAATATTTTTAGTTTTAGTAGAGACAGGATTTCACCACATTGGTCAGGCTGGTCTCCAACTCCTGACCTCATGATCTGCCCGCCTCAGCCTCCCAAAGTACTGGGATTACAGGCGTGAGCCACCGTGCCCAGCCGAGCTTTCCCTTATTATCCTCAGTAGAGTAATGTTTGAGACTAGATAACCTCAGTGGTAGCTCTGGTCTTTGCCAGTTTATTAACTCACTCCTGGGTCCCTGAGGCTGTGCCATCTCTGACGTGCCAGGATGAGTTGTGGTTCCTTCATAGGTACATTCATTCATTTGACCCATGCTTACTGAGGATGTACTGTGGGCCTAGGCCCTAGGCTGGCTTCCAAAGATGTAGACAAAAGACATTCCAGCCCTGGCCTCTGGAGCACAGTTAGGTGAGGACACTGACATGTAACTGATGAGAACAGTGTAGTCATCACTTTAGTGGGGAAATGTACAGATGTAGGGAGCACCGTGCCAGCAGTTCCTAAGTCTGCTGGGGACACTTTGGCTTCCTTTGGCCTGAGACTTGAAGGAAGAAATTTTCCAGGCCAACAAGCATTGGGAGTGGGAAGAAGGGAGGGAGAAGAAGGGAGGGGGAAGGGGAGAAAAGAGAGAGAGAGAGAGAGAGAGAGAGAGAGTGTGTTGGGGTATAGAAGACAGGAAGAGAAGTGTTCCAGGCACAGCAGAGAACATTTGTAGTCAGGGGGTAGAAGGACCTGTCTTATCCTGGGTATTCCCAGTAGTCCTGTGTTGTGTCTCTCTCTCTAGTTTGTTTGTTTTTTTTTGAGATGGAGTCTTGCTCAGTCACTCAGGTTGGAGTGTAGTGGCGCTATCTCGGCTCACTGCAACCTCCACCTCCCAGGTTCGAGCGATTCTCCTGCCTCAGCCTCCTGAGTAACTGGGATCACAGGCGCCAGACACCACGCCCAGCTAATTTTTGTATTTTTAGTAGAGACAGGGTTTCACCATGTTGGCCAGACTGGTCTTGAGCTCCTGATCTTAAGTGATCCACCCACTGTGGCCTCCCAAAGTGCTGGGATTACAGGAGTGAGCCACTGCACCCAGCAAGAGCAATAATTTTTGAACCCCAAATCAAGATGGCAGAATAACTGAAGTGGCAGTTATTCCAAGCTTCCCTGCCTCCCTGCCTAAGGATAGCTAATGAGGGATAAAGAGGTTTTCTTAGGTGCTTTACCTGAATTAACACTTAATCCTTCCAGGAACCTCATGAGGTAACAGCATTACCCCATTTTACAGAGTGAAATTGAGCACCGAGAGGTACCTTGCTTAAGGTAACACTGGGTTGGAATCTCCATGCTACAAAGACGTCCAAGTGCATAGTAACCAATTCCACCACGGTCCCTCCTCACCTGCAGGAAAAGAGCATCTAACAAACGGCTAAGGGTTCTGTGAACCTGAGCCTACACCTGAAAAACCCCAAACCAAAAAAGATCCATTTGTGAACAGTGGGCATTTGGGAAAACCCTGCCATCCAAGAACTCAATTTGTGTCCAGCTTACTCGCTAGGAATTCCGCCTCTTCTTCCTGTGTGACTCGGGCAAATAGGCTCACCCCTCTGAGCTTCCATTTCCTCATTAGTAAAATGAGACCTTCCTCCATAGACAGCGGTGAGAACGAAAATCGACTTTTGGAGAGTGGGACCCGCTGAGTCGTTAGTACTGGTGCTTTGCCCTGTCCCCGCCAAACCAAGGCTCCGAGCCCTAGTGGACCCATCGCTGCGGGGCTGGGGCGGGGAGCGCAGCCTGGGTCGGGCGTACCACGCCTGGCCGCCGGCATCCTCCACCCCGGCGCCATGGCCGGACCGAGTCACCTGCACGCTGGGCCCTTCCTTCCTCCCAGCGCGCCCGCCCGCCCTCCGGCCGTCACCGCCCTCCCCTCCCTGTGGCCCCATCCGCCCGCCCCAACGCCCTCGCGCGCCCGTCCCGTCGCGGCAGGCCCCGCCCCTGGCCCGGCCCGCGCTCCCATTGGCCCGCCGCGGCCCCTGCCGCTGTTTGTCCCGGCTTCCCCGCCGCCCATTGGCCCGCCCGGGTCCTCCCAGGAAGTTTGAAAAAAAAAAAAAAAAGTTTTATGGGCGGTTGGAAGGGGCCGGGGCAGCGCCGGGGAAGGGAAGGGCCGGAGGCGCGGCGGCGGGCGGCCGAGAGGGGCGGCGGCGGCGGGGTCCCCGCGCCGCTGAGCCCGGCCCGAGAGCCGCGTCCACCTTCCTGCCTCCTGCTCCCGCCGCCCCGGGGCGCCGCCATGACGGTGAGTGCCCCCGGCAGCCGCCCGCGCCCCAGGCCGGGTGGAGGGCGACGGCCCGAGGCGGAGCCCAGCCACTCCCCTCCCGGGCAGCCCCCTCCTCACTTCTCTGAGGCGAGAAGAGGGCTGGGCCTGAAGACGGGGCCACCTCCGAGGCTCTGGTCTGCCAGACCGGCCTCACCCTCCCCGCAGGCTCCGCTCTCGTCTTCCCTCGT